TCTAAAAGAATATTTCAGTGTGATGAATGGAAACTGAAAACGGAAACATTTTTTTTTTTGTTTCTATATGTTGACGCTTTGACCATGTAGGTGGTATGTTCCTGGCTTCAAGCTGTACTGAACACTGGCCATTAGACGCTCCTCGGGGGCGGGGAAGACCCACCACCCCACTTTCTATGAGCAAGTTGCAGTGCTGTGCTTGGCAATGACTCCTTGAAGTCTGTTTCACTGCCAAGTGCGAGGGTTTACCGCTCGTGAGCGTGACCCTACTATCGCTTTTTTTTTTTTTCTCCTTTTTCCAGCCATTACTTGTAAACTGGAACTGTACATTTTGTATTTTACTTCTAAAGCTTCTGTAAGTAAAATAACTATTTGCTTTATTAAAGATACATTTAATAGTGTGACATTATTTGTTTTATTTTGTTGTGTAATCTGTTTTTGTATGATGTGAATTTGGCTGTATTTTATATTGATGGTATGTTTTTGTTTTTTTTTACATTTTCATTGCAGTTATCTAGAAATCGTCTTTTCTGCTGCATAACGGGCCGTTCCCCTTTATCTTTATTTCATAGGGCCGCTATCCCTGTCCCACCCACTGTTTAGTTCATTCATGTAGTGGGAGGAGACAGGCCCCAATCTGACCTGCCCACTGTCTAATTCATTCATTCATTGGTGTAGTGGGAGGATCCAGGTCCTGGTCTGACCCGCCCACTGTGTGGTGCATTAGTTTAGTGGGAGGACTGATGGTCCTGGTCTGACCTGCACACTATGTGGTGCATTCATTAGACCAGGACCTGGTTCCTCCAACTGTACTAATGAATGCACCACATAGTGTGCAGGTCAGACCAGGACCATCAGTCCTCCCACTAAACTAATGAACTACATTGTGGGTGACTCAGACCAGGACAGTTGGAGGAACCAGGTCCTGGTCTGAGTCACCCACAATGTAGTTCATTAGTTTAGTGGGAGGACTGATGGTCCTGGTCTGACCTGCACACTGTGTGGTGCATTCATTAGTACAGTTGGAGGAACCAGGTCCTGGTCTGAATCACCCACAGTGTAGTTCATTAGTTTAGTGGGAGGGCTGATGGTCCTGGTCTGACCCGCCCACTGTGTGGTGCATTAGTTTAGTGGGAAGACTGATGGCCCTGGTCTGACCCGCCCACTGTGTAGTGCAGGGATGTCAGACTCAATTTAATCGTGGGCCGCATCACCATTATGGCCCTCAAAGGGCGGTTGTATCTGTAAGACTAAATAACCAGAGCATTCCCCCCCCTTTAAATAAGATGTGAAGAGCCTTCCCAACCATCAGAAGCATTCCCCCTTACCTTGTGCTGCTGCTGGGAAGAAGCTGGAGGTGGAACTAGGAAGCAGAAAGTGCAGAGTCTGCTAAATGCTGAGACCATGGGTGGCAGAAACAAGGGGGTATTGCGGCCGCACAGAGAGAGGCAGGATCTGATAGAGGAGTTCTGCCCTCCCCCATGCTGCCGACTTTTGAGACATAGTTTGGGGTGGAGATGAGGGGTGTGCCACAGATGCAGGAGAGTTGCAAGGGCCTCATAAAATGGTTGGTGGGCCAGATTCTGCACATGTGGTGTAGTGGAAGGACCCAAGGTTCTAATCCAACCTGCCCACAGTGTGGCCCATTTATTAGTGTAGTGTGAGGACCCAGGTCCTGGTCTGACCCACCCATGGTGGTATAGTTCATTCGTTAGTGTAGTGGGAAGATACCTAGTTCCCAGTCTACCCCCACACGGTATATTCCTACTGTGCAGTTCCTTGGTGCAGTGGGAGGACCCAGGTCCTGGTCTAACTTGACCCACTGTCTAATGCATTCATTAGTGTGGTAGGAGGATCTGTTTCCTGGTCAGACCCTCTCACTATGTAGTTCATTGGTGCAGTGGGAGGACCCAGGTCCCAACATGACCCACCCACGGGTCTGGTTCAGTCATTGATGTAGTGGGAATGCCAAGGTCCTGGTTGGTGTAGTGGGAGGGCCTGGTTCCTCGTGTGACCTGCCCACTGTGTAATTTATTCATTAATGCAGTGGAAGGACCTAGTTCCCGGTCTGACCTGACCCCACTGCTATGTAGTCATTAATGCAGTGGAAGGATCTAGTTCTTGGTCTGACCCACTCACCGTCTAGTTAATTCAGCAGTGTAGTGGAGGATTCATGTCCTGGTCTGACCTGCCAATGGCATAGACATTTGTGCAGCGGAAGGATCTGGTTCCTGGTCTGACCTGCCCACTGCCTAGTCAATGCAGTGGAAGGACCTGGTTCCTGGTCTGTCTAGTTCATTCAGTAGTGTAGTGGAGGATTCATGTCCTGGTCTGACCTGCCCACTGCGTAGTCATTAGTGAGTGGGTCAGACCAAGGAACTAGATCCTTCCACTGCATTAATGACTACGCAGTGGGCAGGTCAACCAGGACATGAATCGTCCACTACACTACTGAATGAACTAGACAGACCAGGAACAGGTCCTTCCACTGCATTGACTAGGCAGTGGGCAGGTCAGACCAGGAACCAGATCCTTCCGCTGCACAAATGTCTACGCCATTGGCAGGTCAGACCAGGACATGAATCCTCCACTACACTGCTGAATTAACTAGACAATGCAGTGGAAGGATCTAGTTCTTGGTCTGACCCACTCTGTCTAGTTAATTCAGCAGTGTAGTGGACGATTCATGTCCTGGTCTGGCCTGTCCACTGTTTAGTTCATTCATTAGTGCAGTAGGATGTGATTCTCCTTTCTTCCTCCCATATGACGGTGTTGGTTGCGGACTGGAGTGTAACCAGTCTCCTTTCTTTGCTCCTACTGACGAATGGAGTCATGTGGAGGTAGGCCAGCTTGAAATATGAAATTGTGCTGCACCTCGCATGGGGAAGAGACACCAGATAGCTTTAGGCTCCGTGCACACGGGGCGTTTTAATAACGCTGGTAATGTTAGCTGTGTAAAGTCACGTTAAAAACCTGAGTTTTTCTGCATTTTTGTATTAGTGTTTAGCCAAGTTTTTTCACGGTTGCGTGTTTTGTTTTTTTTTAACCAAAAAATAAAACTTTTCTGGTCAAAAAAAATCCAAAAAACGCCGGTTTGCCACGATTTACTGCATTTTTCAGCGTTAGAGCTTTTTTACAGCTAAAAAAACTCCTCTAGAAACCCACTAGTTCTGGGGGGGTTTTTTCCAGCCAAAAAAAACGTTGATTCTAGTCTGTGTGTATGGACACATAGGATAACATGCTGGGGGGTTTACTGGCTGTAGAAAAAAAAAAAAAAAAAGTAAAAAGCCTAAACAACTGCTGTAAAAACATCCCGTGTGCATGAGGACTTAAAGTGTATCTAGACCCTCAGAGGAAAAGTTATTTTGTCTCACCATCCCCTGTATGATTATATTGCATTATTGGGGCCCTAAGCCCTTCTCCCCTGAAGCCATGGTTTCTATGCACTGCACTGATGATGGCCAAAAAGTATGAAACAGCTGAAGGCTGTTAGGAATGGACTGCTCTATAACATTAGGCTGTATATGTACGGTAAAGAAGCCAACATACTGGAGCATCAAGCTGACAAATAAAGGAACAATTTGCATGGCTCCACCCCCTGCCCGGAAATGAGAAATGATTATTTTATTCTTGGGACATGTGAAGACCTTCTCTTCTAAGAAGGCAATACTGTGCTTACATCTAAAAAACATTCAAGGCTAGGTTCACCTTTTGGAGCACGTTACATACATTGCTCCAACTCATTCCCACCCTGACGGGGGGTTCCTTTCCCCTGCACCCATTTCAAAATCGGGATTCTGCCTGAACAGCCGCATCATTTATTCACAAGAATTTGAATAAACTACAAATTCTGTCTTCCACTGCAGCTTGTAGTTCTTAATGAATTGTGAGGGAACAGATGAGCGTCCTTGTAGTTCATGGACACTTCGTCCAGTTTTGCAATTAACAGCTCATACAGAGGTACGGGACACAAAGGTGGAGGCAGTGTCTGCAGGAGGCCGACATTGCACCATGAGTGCATTGCTCTGCTGACTTCTGAGAAAAAAAAAAAAAAATAAATGCACCCCCCCCCCCAAAAAAAGTGTGCATTTATTTAGGTACTTATACAGCGCCGTCAATTTACGCCGCGCTTTACATATATATTGTACATTCACATCAGTCCCTAACCCTCAAGGGGCGTACAATCTAAGGTCCCTAACTCACATTCATACATACACATACTAGGGGCAGTTTAGACAGGAGCCAATTCACCTACCAGCATGTCTTTGGAGTGTGGGAGGAAACCGGAATACTCAGAGGAAACCTACACAGGCACAGGGAGAACATGCAAACTCCAGGCAGGTGGTGATGTGGTTGGGATTCAAACCAACGACCCCAGTACTGCCAGGCGGAAGTGCATTTAGCCACTGTTCTGCCCTATTTACCATGCCGGCATTGACCCTTGATGTATTTACACCAACATCTTCCCTTGAAAAAAAAAAAAAAGTGCAGAAAGCCGATCTGTAGTTTTCTTCTTTTAATTAAATAAAGTGACCTAAAATCCAATCAAGATATACAACTTCAAGTAGACAAAATATTTACAGTCACAGCCAAATCTTTCTGGTGCAGTGAGCTCTGCCATTTGGTCCCCCTTTCAGGCCATGTTTTCCATCTCTTCTCTGTGAATAACTAAGAAAGTTTGATTAAAAAAAAAGACAGTAAGCTGCAGTTCTGGGTCCTAGACTGGCCACTGGCTAGAGCTGTTCACTTGGCTCCATCTTGTGGACAAAAACTGGAACTTCACCAGAATGGAAAAATGTTCTCCCAGCCAGCGCTGTCAGGGTTACATTCCGGGTTCTGTCATTCTACAGCCAGAAGTCGCCGACTAAAGATGGAGAGTCTACAGGTAACACTACAGCATATGCAGGCTGCATATAGAGATACACACAGGAGGTTTGAACAGGGATGGGGACTGGCACACACTTCAGAACACTGGTTTGGGTGGGGGACTGGCACACAGTTTAGGATCCTGGTTTGGGTGGGGATGGGGGGCTGGCATCAGCTATGGTTGCCAAGTAGATGAGATTCCTGTGCAGAACTTGCTGGTACCTGCAGAAAAAGAAAAAAAAAAAAAAAAGGAAGCCATCAATACTAAATCATGCGATAAAGCCTTACTGCATAAATGGAAACTAATCCGGTTTCTCTAATTAGCCACTTCAGTCCCGAGACATTTCTGGCACTTTTTGTTTTTTTAATTTTAAAATCAGTATTTTTTGCTACAAAATTACTTTCGAACCCCCTAACATATATATATATATATTTTAAAAGAAGAGGCCCTAGAGAATAAATTGATGGTTTTTTTTTTTTTTTTTAATGGCACACGGTATTTGTGTAGTGTTTTATCAAGTGCAAATTGTGGGGGGAAAAAAAAAATCCCCACTTTAAAATTTTATTGCAAAAAAAAAAAAAAAAAAAATACATAACCCAATTATTTTTGTACACTCTAAAAGATGATACACTTATAGATAGGTACCAAACATGTCACGCTTTAAAATTGTACACGCCCTTGCAATGGCGACAAACAACGTAAATTTTACTGTTAACCTGTAAAGGCTTTTAAAGCGTCACCTGTGATCACTTTATATTTACAAAGGTAAACTAGTGCTAGAATTATTGCCCATGAGCCGACTATCGTGACGCTGCCTCGTGTGTGGGACAATCTGTGTTTGCATGTGTGGGGGACTTACATAGGTTCACTTTTGCGCAGTGGGACAAGGGCACTATCATTTTTTTAAATAATTTTTACTAAATTAATTTTTTTTTTTTTACACATTGCCACTTTCTATGTTTTTTCTTTTTTGTATCATCCCCTATGACAGCAATAGACACCTGACAAGTATTTTTTTTATGGAGAAATCTGGGGTCTATGTGACCCCACATCCCTCCTCTGCACTTGAGGGCATTCAAAACACACCAAGACCCTCCCTAGGAGGAACACAGGACAGCAATAAAAACCTGACAGACCCCTCACTACTCCACCTAAAACATAAATAAATACCACAACATACAAAGCCATCCACAACACTGCCTCCAGCTACATCACCAATCTCATCCACAGATATCGCCCACTCCGCTCCTCCCAAGACATAGTGCTCTCTATCTCTCTCATTGTTGCCTCCAAAACTTCTCCAGAGCCTCTCCCAACCTCTGGATCTCTTTCCCCCCAGTATGTCTGGATAGCCCCCACCCTGTCTGCCTTTAGGCGATCATTGAAAACTTACTTATTCAGGGAAGCCCACCCCACCTCCACCTTGTAGGATATTGTAATTTGAGATATGTTTCTAAATGGTTAGCACTTCCGCCTGGCAGTACTCGGTTCGTTGGTTCGAATCCCAACCACAGCACCTCCTGCCTGGAGTTTGCATGTTCTCCCTGTGCCTGCGTGGGTTTCCTCCTACACTCCAAAGACATGCTGGTCGGTGAATTGGATCCTATCTAAATTGTCCCTAGTATGTGTATGTATGAATGCGAGTTAGGGACCTTAGATTGTACACCCCTTGAGGGTTAGGGACTGATGTGAATGTGGGCAACACAGTGGCTAAATGGTTAGCACTTCCGCCTGGCCGTACTGGAGTCGTCGGTTTGAATCCCAACCATGGCACCACCTGCCTGGAGTTTGCATGTTCTCCCTGTGCCTGCGTGGGTTTCCTCGGGTACTCTGGTTTCCTCCCACAATCCAAAGACATGCTGGTAGGTTACTTGGCTCCTGTCTAAATTGTCCCTAGTATGTGTATGTATGAATGTGAGTTAGGGACCTTAGATTGTACACCCCTTGAGGGTTAGGGACTGATGTGAATGTACAATATATATGTAAAGTGCTGTGTAAACTGACAGCGCTATATAGAAGTACCTGAAATAAATAAATTTTATATATATATATATATAGTATTCTCATGTTATTGAACAGGCCAGCATAGGACTGGGCTAGATGTGTTTTACACACCAAAAGGACAGCTAAGGACTCCTTATTATGTTAATTTATGCACAAAGTAGTTACCTTCCCTTTGTTATGTTGGGTTAACCTGTTTTTGGGTAAATATGTGGAGAGTTTCAGACCTATTTGCAAATCAACCAGTATTGTAAAATGCAAGCCTGCCTGATTAGATTGGGAAAGTTCTTATTCATGGTGTGCTTGTTTATGGTGAAGAGAACAGTTTTGCCAAGAACAAGACCAGGAGGATCTATTTCACTTTTTAATTAAAATCTATGCATACGGCTGTTCTAGGACTAGACACATAAGATCAAACATGCTCCTAAAACCAAGCAATCAGATTGCTCAACACTTTGGTCAATGGGAAAAGGTGTATATTAGGGAAGGTTTTCTTTGGTTGAGGTCGGTCTGGAGAAAAGGACACAGGAGAAAGGGCTGGAGAAAGTGTGTCCTTTGAAGGTTTCTGATGATTGCTGAATACCCTGTCATGTGCCTTGTCTGTACCTCTGCTTCATGAACTGTCGCTGAACTGACTACATGCATGTCTCTGGAAAAGAACTCTCAGGACTAGTTGCTGTGGGAAAATACATTTATAAATTTACACATCGTCATCCATCCATCCTCCTCCAAGTAATAGAAGACAACACACCTAAGAACTGTACTTGATCCATCAGATCACCCCCCCCCCCCCCCCCCCCCAGCTATCACCTTTTGCACCACCTCCCCCTTCCTTTAGATTGTAAGCTCCACAAGCTGGGCCCTCCGATTCCTTCTGTCTCCCGTTATATTGTAAAGTGCTGAGCAAACTGTTGGCGCTATATAAATCCTGTATAATAATAATATATAAATCCTGTATAATAATAATATATAAATCCTGTATAATAATAATATATAAATCCTGTATAATAAATAATATATAAATCCTGTATAATAATAATATATAAATCCTATAATAATAAATATAAAATCCTGTATAATAATAATATATAAATCCTGTATAATAATACTCTATGGTTGTATATGCAGTATAACCTGATCATGTACACAGATCTATTAATCAGACAGACATAAGGGTGGGAGGAAAGACAGACAAATATGGGACAGACGGGAACTCCCAGCAGGCGCAGTGCACCCCACTCCCCCCCCCCCCCCCCCGGTACTCACTGGGAACACTCGGTGGCTCTCCCCTTGCTCTGATATTCCACAATACAGCGGATGAGTTGGTCGTTCTCTTCCAGCAGCTGGACAGGAAAAGAACAAATAATACGATTAGCGGGGTGGTGAAGGTTACAGTTCACCTTCAGGAGTGTGTTCCACCAAAATATAGGGTTCAATATGTTCCAGCTCCTTCCCTCATCCCCCCCCCCCCCCACCCTGTGACAGCGGGTAGGGGGTTCATCTCCCCGCACCCACTGTCACTTTTTGAAAACTGCACAGTTGTGCAGGGCAGGGAGGATAGGCTGTCCTCCTTGATATGAAAGGGGGGGGAGGGATAGGCTGTCCTCCTTGATATGAAAAGGGGGGGGGGGGAGGGATAGGCTGTCCTCCTTGATATGAAAGGGGGGGGGGAGGGATAGGCTGTCCTCCTTGATATGAAAGGGGGGGGGAGGGATAGGCTGTCCTCCTTGATATGAAAGGGGGGGGGGGGGAAAGGGATAGGCTGTCCTCCTTGATATGAAAGGGGGGGGGGAGGGATAGGCTGTCCTCCTTGATATGAAAGGGGGGGGGGAGGGATAGGCTGTCCTCCTTGATATGAAAGGGGGGGGGGAGGGATAGGCTGTCCTCCTTGATATGAAAGGGAGGGGCTGTCCTCCTTGATATGAAAGGGGGGGGGGGGGGAGGGATAGGCTGTCCTCCTTGATATGAAAGGGGGGGGGGGGAGGGATAGGCTGTCCTCCTTGATATGAAAGGGGGGGGGGAGGGATAGGCTGTCCTCCTTGATATGAAAGGGGGGGGGGGGGGATAGGCTGGGGAGGGATAGGCTGTCCTCCTTGATATGAAAGGGGGGGGGAGGGATAGGCTGTCCTCCTTGATATGAAAGGGGGGGGGGGGAGGGATAGGCTGTCCTCCTTGATATGAAAGGGGGGGGGAGGGATAGGCTGTCCTCCTTGATATGAAAGGGGGGGGGAGGGATAGGCTGTCCTCCTTGATATGAAAGGGGGGGGGGGGGATAGGCTGTCCTCCTTGATATGAAAGGGGGGGGGGGGATAGGCTGTCCTCCTTGATATGAAAGAAGGGGGGGGGGGGGGGATAGGCTGTCCTCCTTGATATGAAAGGGGGGGGGGGGGATAGGCTGTCCTCCTTGATATGAAAGGGGGGGGGGATAGGCTGTCCTCCTTGATATGAAGGGGGGGGGGGGGATAGGCTGTCCTCCTTGATATGAAAGGGGGGGGGGGATAGGCTGTCCTCCTTGATATGATGAGGGGGGGGGGAATAGGCTGTACTCCTTGATATGAAGGGGGGGGGGGGGTTATAGGCTGTCCTTGATATGACAAGGGGTGGGGGGGAGATAGGCTGTACTCCTTGATAAGAAGGGGGGGGAATAGGCTGTCACCTCCTTGATATGGTGAGGGGGGGGTAGGCTGTACTCCTTGATATGAGTGGTCCTTGATATGACAAGGGGGGGGGGGGGGTAGGCTGTACGCTTGATAAGAAGGGGCTGGCCATGTGATCACCTCCTCCACTGCTGGGGTGAGGGGGGTAGGCTGTACGCCTTGATATGGGGGGGGGTCTGCAGATGTACTTCCTAGTATGGAGAGGGAGGGGTCATGTGATCACTTCCTCCCATGTGGCAGTGATGGCACCTGCTGATTGGCCTGATGCTATCACCCTCCCCTCCTTTCACATCCCGGAGGGGAAGTATGTACAGCCGATAGATCGCCATTAAACATGTCACCCCTCCCCCACACAGACACTGCACGAGGTCAGCCAGGGCCCCACCAAGCTTGAAATCCCGTCCTCCCCCTACCCGGACCGCTCACCCTCTGTACATTGTCCTCCGGGATCTGCGCCCGGCCCCGGAGCCGCTCCGGTACGAACACCAGCGACATCTCTCCCGTTCACACCTCTCACTTCCGGTGCACTGTTATCGCGTCTTCCAGCGTAACTACGCCAGCCGAGCGTATGGTAAGGTCGCACGCTGGCTCCGCCCCCTCACCTGAGAACACAGAAACCCGCGATATCGGCCCGGAGTTTAGATTTAAAGGGGAACGCCACCTAAATCACGATTGTGTTTGAACCCCGTGCATGGTGTCCCCTCGTTAGGCTGGAATTGTAAAGGAAGATTTGTAGTGAAGATGAGAGGCATGTCTCTGTATAGAGTAAGCTACACCTGTCATATGATCTTCCACGACATTGCTTCGCCCATGCGTAGGAGATGCTCCATGTGTGATCATTGGCTACCAGCCGCGCCACTTGTGTTCATTGGCTACCGTCTACGCCTCATGTGTTCATTGGCTACCGGAAGCGCCACTTGTGTTCATTGGCTACCTGCCGCGCCAATTGTGTTCATTGGCTACCGGCCGCGCCACGTGTGTTCATTGGCTACCGGCCGCGCCACGTGTGATCATTGACTACCGGCCGCGCCACTTGTGTTCATTGGCTACCGGCCGCGCCACTTGTGTTCATTGGCTACCGGCCGCACCACTTGTGATCATTGGCTACCGGCCGCGCCACGTGTGTTCATTGGCTACCGGCCGCGCCACGTGTGTTCATTGGTTACCGGCCGCGCCACGTGTGGCCATTGGCTACCGGATGTGCCACGTGTGGCCACTGGCTACCAGCCGCTTCCTGTGCAGTCATTGGCTACTGGCGGCTCCATGTGTGGTCATTGGCTACCGGATGTGCCACATGTGGCCAGAGGCTACGAGACACTCCGTGTGGTCATTGACTATCGGCCACGCCACGTTTGGCTATTGGCTACCGGATGTGCCACGTGTGGCCACTGGCTACCAGCTGCTCTCTGTGTGGTCATTGGCTACCGGATGTGTCACTTGTGGCCACTGGCTACCGGCCGCTTCATGTGTGGTCATTGGCTACAGGCCGTGCATCATGTGGTCATTAGCTACAGCCCGATACATGTTGGCTGATTGATGGACCCCAATGTAAATGGCTGTTCAGAAGTCTCTCTGGAGCGCAGTGGGCCCTGGTAGGTCTTCAGAACATCAGCAGTAGGCGGAGTCAGGAGAAGGGGGGCTGTCTTCACATAGATGGGGGCCTGTGGGGCGACTTCACACTGCCCCCAAGTGCAAGCTAAGCCGCAGGTTTTGCGCCATTACCCACAGACTTCTATGAGGTCTGGCGGTTTCTGAAGACCACAGATGCAGCATGCAGGAGTTTAGGGACATCAAAACCACAGGACCTCATCGAAGTCTATGGGAAAGTGCGGGTAACTGGCTGCACTTTAGCAAAAGCACATGGGGGTAGTGTGAAGCCATTCAATGGCAGGTGGCCCACTTCATGGACCTGCACAGAGCTCCACACACACCCCAGAGAGCACTCACAGATGGTGGTGATGCACAGATCACAGACTGGCTGCCATTAGGGCCGATGAAAGGATTATTGTCCACACCGGCCAAGGTACCACCACTCCACCCCCCCCCCCATTGACAGGAGAACACCCACTAAAGTCACTCAGGTGCTGAGCACTGTATTCTGTAAGAGCCAACAGTATGCTGTATTTGTATGCTCCCCGGACGGGAGACACTCTTACCTCACCCAGCAGGACCAGTCTAGATGAAAGAAACAGGAGCCAGAGTCCGATAGGCGGAGCTGATGGAGCCGCTGTGCACAGAGGAGGTTTCTTCTGTGCGCAGCTGAAAATTTCACCATCGGTTGCTAGCAGCCCTAGCTACCACTGACGTCTAGGCTCCTGCAATGGACTGATTCTGCTCCCTCACCCCTTAGGGAATGGAAGACAGTTACTGTCAAAATCCAAATCCCTAGCAAATGGCTGGGGATTCGGATTTTACCGTTCCCGTCCTGGCAGCTGCCTAATGCTCACGTCAGCACCAACTGCCGTTGATTTCAACAGGATGCTAGGAACACCTGTGCAGGTGAGGATAGCCCTTCACACAATAGTATAGATTGGTACACCCTGTAAATGATGTCGTAAACCACTGCTCTCCTAACTGTGGTCCAGGGGGCAAATGCAGCCCTTGGGGCAATATTATTCCTACTGGCAGCAATAATGGGGCACTATTACTCCTACTGACACAAATGATGAGACACTATTGCTCCCACTGACACCGATGGGGCACTATTTCTCTTAGTGACACAAATGATGGGGCACTATTCCTCCCACTGACACCAATGATGGGGCACTATTCCTCCTACTGACACCACTACTGGGGCACTATTTCTCTTAGTGACACCAATGATGGGGCACTATTTCTCCCACTGACACCAACGATGGGGCACTATTCCTCCCACTGACACCAACGAAGGGTCACTATTCCTCCCACTGATACCAACGATGGGGTACTATTCCTCCCACTGACACCAACGATGGGGCACTATTGCTCCCACTGACACCAACGATAGGGCACTATTGCTCCTACTGACACCACTACTGGGGCACTATTTCTCTTAGTGACATCAATAATGGGGCACAATTGTTCCCACTGACACCAATGATGGGACACCATTGCTCCCACTGACACCAATGATGGGACACTATTCCTCCTACTGTTGTCAACACTGAAACCAACAAGGAAGCACTGTTCACTCCCACTGATGCCAGGGCATGTTATACTCACACTGCTCATAGCCTGCTCCCCCCTCAATGTCTGATGGACAGTAAACTGGCCCTTTGTTTACAAGGTTTGGAGACCCCTGCCTTAGAGGATAAGTTCACCTTCCCATTAAAAAAAAAGAAATGGAAAGGGTGAGCTAACTCTTCACAACACCCTTCCCTCTCCCCACTGCACTGCTATGCACTGCCCACCCAACGCCAGCTGGCACAACAGGCTACACACTTGAAAACATCAATGAACAGCCCCAGAAGATATGTTGCACCATAATACTAGTGATCAATAGTCAGCATGGTCACATGACTGCAGTGTCCAAAGATAATCTTTATTTTGGAACACAATCCTTCAGAAGAAATTCTTACTGAGCAGCATGGTCACACTGATCAATGACATCTCATGAGCCACCACAGCTGTGTATATTTTTTACTCATCTGGCCCATTTACACCTACAGGCATGAGCAGTGGCACCTATGTGCAGTGGGGGCTAGGGGCCC